AGTAGCCAGAGAGAAAAAGGATGTTGCCCGTATTCTAACAAAAAGGGAGGAATATTAGGTCGTATGAGAACCCTTTTTCGGCCGCACCCCATCGTGGCACTGGCTACCCTTCTCTTCCGCCTTTTTCCTTCCCACTGGTGCCACAATACCTTCCCGCCGGCGTGAATTGCGTGCCAATCAGCGCAGGCTCCCTGCTCCTGGCCCTTTGGCAACATAATCCATCCAATCCCCAAACGCCCCGTGTCACCTGTAAACCTATCAACTCTCTTCTAACCCTATAAAACAGATGTACTCGCTAAATAAAATCGGAACTTCTCCGGCGAGCTGCCTTGCGTTTGTGCCTCATCCTTTCACATCTGATCCTCCAAAGCTCCCGATGTATATTTGGCAAGGGTGAGGGGTGAAGAATAAATGCCTAGGCTTATCTACAGCCTAGCCACCAAGAGGAAGCAACCAGGCCCCGGGCCTAGTACCAGCTATACACTCCCCAGCTATGTGAACCCTGGGAGGGACACCCGCCCCATGCCATATCTGGTCACCTTTCCTGCGGACGATGAACTCAAACTTGGCTGGCACCAGGGTGTCCAGGCTGATGTTGATGGCACTCAGGCCAGCTTTCTGAAGCTCGGGCAGCAGCCGGGCTAGGTTGATGCCATTGGTGGTGACACCGATGGTCCTCAGTCCTTCCAGCCGGTGCAGCTGGGCTGTAGAGACACAGGAAGGACATCAGACTGTTTGTTCTTGGTGAGGCCAGAAGGGCTGGAAGGCAACACTCTAAAGAAGATGGGCGGAAAAAGCACTGTGCAGACCTCTATTAACCAGGTTAAGTTTTATAAGAAACATAAGAATAAAAACAATGATAAAAATAACCAAAAGATTAAACAGCAAGTGCTCACTGCAGGAGGTGCCCTGCTGAGGGCTTGCGTACATTAATTATACACATCAGGAGTGGACTCAACAGATTATCGACTTATGGCTGCAGGGAACTTTCATCCATTTCACCCCTTAGGAGGTTCTTTTATATTCCACCATATTATGGGGTCTCCTGACCATATTCCTCCCAGATACTCCAACCCCTTCCCAAACGACACCCCCTACCAGCAGGAAGTAGCCAGAGAGAAAAAGGATGTTGCCCGTATTCTAACAAAAAGGGAGGAATATTAGGTCATATGAGAACCCTTTTTCGGCCGCACCCCATCGTGGCACTGGCTACCCTTCTCTTCCGCCTTTTTCCTTCCCGCTGGTGCCACAATACCTTCCCACCGGCGTGAATTGCGTGCCAATCAGCGCAGGCTCCCTGCTCCTGGCCCTTTGGCAACATAATCCATCCAATCCCCAAATGCCCTGTGTCCCCTGTAAACCTATCAACTCTCTTCTAACCCTATAAAACAGATGTACTCGCTAAATAAAATCGGAACTTCTCCGGCGAGCTGCCTTGTGTTTGTGCCTCATCCTTTCACATCTGATCCCCAAAAGCTCCCGATGTACATTTGGCAAGGGTGAGGGGTGAAGAATAAATGCCTAGGCTTATCTACAGCCTAGCCACCAAGAGGAAGCAACCAGGCCCCTGGCTTAGTACCAGCTATACACTCCCCAGCTATGTGAACCCTGGGAGGGACACCCGCCCCATGCCATATCTGGTCACCTTTCCTGCGGACGATGAACTCAAACTTGGCTGGCACCAGGGTGTCCAGGCTGATGTTGATGGCACTCAGGCCAGCTTTCTGAAGCTCGGGCAGCAGCCGGGCTAGGTTGATGCCATTGGTGGTGACACCGATGGTCCTCAGTCCTTCCAGCCGGTGCAGCTGGGCTGTAGAGACACAGGAAGGACATCAGACTGTTTGTTCTTGGTGAGGCCAGAAGGGCTGGAAGGCAACACTCTAAAGAAGATGGGCGGAAAAAGCACTGTGCAGACCTCTATTAACCAGGTTAAGTTTTATAAGAAACATAAGAATAAAAACAATGATAAAAATAACCAAAAGATTAAACAGCAAGTGCTCACTGCAGGAGGTGCCCTGCTGAGGGCTTGCGTACATTAATTAGCTCACTGAAGCCCCACAACAATGATTATCCCGTTTAGTAGATAAAGGAAGAGAGGCTCAGAGAGAATAAGAAAATTGCTTAAGGTCACACAGCTAGTAAGAACAATTGAGATTCTAATCCACGTGTATAAGGGTACTTCTAAGAGTGCCTGGAAAAACAGAATTAAAAAGATACTATGAATCTTTCCATGAACTTTTTGAAAAACCCTCATACTTGACTCTAGGACTATACTCATAACAATCAACCACACAGGTCCTGATACTCTACATAACAGAAAAAGTGTTTGAATTAAGAACTATTTGACACTTCCATTCCACCAGAAGTCCCCGCAGTGCCTCAGGAATCCAAGGCACTGCAGCCACCATTCCTTCCGAAGTGCTGGGGGAATGGAGGGAAGGGTCTTGCTCCATCCTTCCCACCCTTGGAGGCAGGAGCCAAATCCTCAAAAGCAGGTCACTGCAGGCAGGTCTTTGTCCTAACCAGTGTCTATATGGTAATCACCCTTTCTCATCCCATGTCATCAGCCAGTACCAATAACCATGGTACATCACAGCAGTTAAGGCCATTTAAGTGGCTAGTCCACAGATGAGGAAACTGAGGCCCAGGGTAGGGAAGGAACCTGCAGAAGCTCACACAGCCAGGGAGTGTCAGAATGGGACAGGGCTGTCAAGTTCAACTCTTCCCACCATGTGGATCAGTGGCTTCCGTGGAGAGCTCTGAGTTCTCGTGCCTGTGCTCAAGTCATCTTGCACCTTGCTGACCAGCAAGGGATGCTCATTCCCCCTGCTCTCCCACTGGTCCTGGCAGGGAGCACAGGGAAGGAAGGTGGAGCCCATACTGGATGGTGGCCCATAGGGGAAGTGGCCTGAAGGAGGGGGCTGGGCCTGGCAGCCAGCTGGATTCATCTGGCTCAGCCCTTTCCTGGAAGCTGGCCTGCCTTTCAGCTGAAGAGCTGCCCGGAACAGGGGTCAGCTTGCCGGGGCCTGCTTGTCCTGCACAGGAATGATGGCAGGATCCCAGGTGAAGTGAGCAGTGAGAGTTAGAGGGAACTGGCCATGGAGAAGCAGGGGATAGGGCTGTCAGGGGGTCCAGGGCACCCCAGTAGCCTTTTCCTCCAATGGGCTGAGCAGGGCCTGTAGTGCATTCATCTTTATGGCCCCAGAACAGTACAAGGCACATAAGAAAGTACTCTAGGTTGAAATACTCCTCATTCACTGAACCAGGGAGTGAGGCAGATTGCTGGGGGTTTGGAGATCTCACCCAGGGCAGCTGTGGTGGAGGGTTAGGGGGGT